AGATGTTTGACGGGTTCTCACATGATAATATCGTCAAAATCAAATTACCGCGCCAGACTTAATGTAAACATGGACACCGCTGACTCAATCTCATTACATTTCAATTTTGGGAAAGGCTACTACTTCGTTCTTTGGGTTAAACGACAAATCTTCGACAAAGCGCGATTTTTTTAAATGAATAATATAAACTCTGCTATAGATTACTGAAGAGAGAATGATGGAAACTTGCTCACGCCGTTCGCTATCATTTGAAAACTTTCTAGGCAAAACATAATCCGTAAGATAACTTCTTTTCCCTTTTATTCGAGCGATGAACTGGCACGATGGTTTTTAAGTGATGAATGCAAAAGTCATTGTTTTACTGAAACGTGATTTGGATTATAAACTGAAGCAAATGTCAAACAAAGATTGAGAAAAAAAGGTTTGAGTTTTTCTGGGCCTTAGCGTAAGAGGAAACCCAGATAAGACACCACTTACCCCCTCTTTTTTCGCGGATCCTTTGTGGTTTGCTTCTCTTTATTGAAGGCCTCTTTTAAGTCTGTTTTCTGAAGCTCTTCGTATTTCCTTCTCACATTGCTCTTCGCCAGATATTCGCCTTTTTACTTATGCCTTTTCTTGCTCTCTTCTGCGTTCCTCTCGCCGTATTCTGCCTATTTTAGCGTCCTTTCTAACTTTCTTGCGCGTTTTTCTCGACTCGCTTTACGCCTTTTACTTGTTGCTTTCTTTGATCGCTTTGTCTCTTTCTTTCCAGCCTATTTCACTCAAAACCCTTCTCCACGAACTTGAATTATAAGAATTTTCCTCCGGTTGACAAAGCTTTAGCTCCGTCGGTATTGTTGCTTTGCGGGTTGAATAAAAATCTTAAAATACTGAGAATTATTGTTCAAACTACAACCTCACCACTTTGATTTCCCGCTCAAAACGCAGGTGGCAAATTATTTGCTCACGCGGTACACATCTACTAGCCCACTTGAAGCCCTCTTGTAATGCATAACCGAGTGCCCGCAGTACGCTGCGCTAAAGCACGGCACTCGAGTATGCGCACTTCATTGTCATCTGCCGGTGTCTCCTGGCGCATACTTACAGGGTGTCCTAGTTACGCACGCAATCACGGCTGCGCATTACCTTCTCCTTCGCCCTTCCATTACGTTATGGCTAAGATAGTGCCCGCAATGAAGTTGGCCGCGCATGCTAAAAGTGGCACCTTGTACGTACGGTCGTGCGGTCGTACGATCGTAAGGCCAAATTTGTTCGGTTTGATGGGTTACTACTATTTCGTACAATTATGGGGCTACGCTGCGTACGCTGCGAGCTCCGCTATTAGAGTGAACTATCCTTGCTTACCTTTTTTTTTGTTTTTAAGACAGAAAAGAATGAGTTAATTTACCTACTGATCAAAAGTGATGATATTACGCAGTTCGCAGAACCACCTAAGAATACACTCAAAAGCGAAAACTTAAACTATTTATTTATAGCAAAAGTAACGAATCAATTTTCAGGAGACAGAATTACATCATTTCACCACAACTCCTCCTTGGATCCTGATGATGACTGACGCTCGGGTTGTCAAAAGGACAGTCACTACTAATGACAACAGTGCTTCTCAAGACTATATTTCTTTTCCTTACATTCCCAAAATTAACCCGGAATTATTCCAGAAATACAGCTCACACACAACTATTATTTAGTGGTGGGATATTTCGACTTTATAATTTGTTCTTTCAGGAAGCACAGGATTATGCAGATGGAAACCGTCTTGTTAGGATTTTTATGGAAGTGTCAGCACTGACAGTCGAAAATACGTCAGACCTTGTATCCAAAATAGGTAAGTAGAAATGACTATTCATTGACGTAAAGGGCGTAAGTTTCTAAGGAAACTGAGGTGCTGCGTTGGTGGGAGAGTATAACAGGGTAATTTAGTATTATCAACTGAGTTGATAACGTAAGTTGGCCTCCGTAAAGAGTTTAAAAGCTGGCGTTTCGAGCATTAGCCCTTCGTCTGGAGTGACTAAAGGAATTGTGGGTTTTGTGTGTGTTTACATGCAGGAAATGGAGCTACACTATGGGTAGGAATATGGTGACGAGAGAACAAGATCATCAGTTGAATGATAAGCACTCGTTGATATCGTGGGGATTGAGAGTGCCGATTAGAAAGATAAAGTTTTGTTCTAGAGTTTTGCGGCTTTCGATGTAGGAAAAGGCCGCAAATTGCCCGCATATGCTGCTTAGAATGTTTAGGGGGATTAAAGCGCCTAGCGACTGGTTTGGATACATCGCTGTTGTTTCTTTCTATGTTGTGAAAGTGTCCTCGGTATCGGTCAGCTAATCGTCCTCCAATGTTTCACTTATGTATAAGTTTTTGCAAAAAGTTAAACATTGGTAAAACATCTTTCAAATCGGTAATCTTAATCCTCACGGTATCAACTAGCGCTTTTCATTCAACTGACCGTGGGGATTAAGAGAACCTGAGTTGAAAGAGAATTCCCTAGTATGCGTCGGCCAAAGGCGAAACAGGCGGAAGAAAATATGCAACCACTTATCATAATATAATTTAATAAAGAATGCTTTGTAAAATACCACATACTCCACTCTTGTATGATGGCAGACTTGCTGATACCTTGGAGCTTGCGCTATGACATTGAATGAAAAGCATTGCTGAAAGCTTCAGAAACTCTATTTACACTATTCCTGCAGAGCGACGATTGTGGAACTCTTCTATCCAATTAGCACTCATTAATGGAAATGAGAACACTTTCAGTGGATAGGCCTTTACAGAAATCTCATTATTTTTGTATTCAAGTATTCGTCAATAATTTGGCAGACCTATTGTTGGTTTTAGTACTCTTGAGACAAAAAAGCATGGGTTTCTGACTAGAGAGATGAATTCAAGGGGAACATTTTGGTTACAATTCTATGTCTGTTGTAGCAGCGACTGCTTCTATGAAACACGTTCTTGGATAACTAGCAGTAATTTTTCCCCCCTGGGGAAAAAAAGTTGTGAATGACAGAAAAATGTTTTTATGTTTGCTAGAAGAAAAAGGGACTACGAGGTTTTGTTCATAGTGAAAAACTAGGTTGCTCCTGTCATCGATACCAGTTATATAAATTTGACTGAGCTGTGTTTAGTTCTCTTAATGTGAAACTATAGCACCTCTTTCCTGTTAATTAAGGTTTCCAGAGATGGTTCGTTAGATATACTCGTAGTGCGATAGGTTTAGGCATTATTAAGGATGTAGAAGGTCAAAGCTGACAGGAAGTTATCATGTGGTGCTTAGTTTTTGTAATCATTCTATTTTGTAGAGGAACATTTAATTGCCACCCTATCCGATGTCCACGAAACGTTGCCTCTCGTAGCGGAAACTATGGATCTGAGTAAGAGAAATTTGGGCAGCAATCCGTTGGATTTCCTCGCGGCGATGCATTTAGTTAGCCTACAGAAGCTTTCACTGGCACATATCCAATCGCTGAATTTGAGCCACAACAATTTGGCAGAGATACCTGATATTTTTCTACAATTGATAACCCTGACGTGCCTGTTTGTGAATGACAACAGACTGTCCTCTCTGCCTAAAAGTATGAAATATTTGACACGACTACAAGAGCTGGACTTGAGAAATAACCAACTGAAGGGACTTGATGTGGTTAGAAAACTGCCTAAACTTAAGAAACTGTTGTAGAAGGAAATCCGCTCACACTAGAGGAGATCAGAAGTCTTATTGAGCATGTGGATACGACGACAAGATCGATCTCCGTAGACATTGCAGGTAGTGTTACATGAATATATAGCAATAAATCTTTTGCATACTCGAGCACAATGTTATCTTGGAGTAAGGATTTTGTGTCTCTCGCGCTGTGGTGATTTTTGTCTCTATTTAGAGTTTCTGAAGGAATTTTTTTGTAAAGATTAGAGCTTCAAGTAGGTAAAGCCTGTCCTTCCGTCGTCGCTAAGAGTTCCAAATTGGCGTATGTAGTCGACTCCCGTTATTGCGCACACCCTTGGAGGGGGGATTTCGCATCCGTAAGAGCGAGAGTCCATAAAAGCGGGTTACGAGAGGAAAAAAATTTGTCTTGAAACATATGAAATGATATGTAACTAGGCAAAAATAAAGTTTCTTACGTGGTCTCACGAACCGGAAAAAGATCCGGCCGCAAAACAGGAAATTCTAATGTTCGCACCCAATTGAAGAATGGTTTCTTTGTTTTCTTTTGTTTTGTTTTATATTATGAGTCAGGATTTTGGACGAAGTATTTACTACAGTGAGAGAAAAAACGGGTGAAATGTCGTGCAAGGGGGCATTAAAGTGTCCACATTTCCGTAATAGCGAGATTCCGTAATAACGGGAGTTTATTTTAGCGGGGTGTTCGTAAAAGCAAGGTGTCCGTAGGGCGAGGTCGACCGTACACTTAAAAATGTAGCCTTTACTTACTCTTGTACTAACTATGATCACCGTCTGATGCTAATTTGTATCGTTGTAAGCTTCGTCTGATAATTACTTTGCTATTTCAAGAGAGTTTGTGGGAGTGGTTAATACAAATCTGCCAGCCAATCCTTATGGTTCTGGAGTCTTGGGGTGTGCACTTGAAGAAGGCGTAACAAACGGAAGCAGGCTGGTTTTGTTGTTGAATACAGTCTTCGTGTACTGTACAACTTTAAAAACATTTATCGCAGCATCTCAAGCCAAAAATGATACAAAAGAATACAAAAGAACCTGGCTTGAAGGCTGACTATGCAAGAAAAATGGAACATCCCGTGCTGAACATTTTGAGGAAGTTTTATGTGATAGATTTACCTGAAATTTTGAAAAAATTATTTCTCTCTTCCACCGAAAACATTTAATCTTCCGCAGGTTGATATGACTTTCATGGGAGTTAATTTTAGTAATGTGTTCCTCGTTTTAAATGTATCACCCTCCACAAGGTCGTAATGTATCGTAGAAATGTTCTTTGTTTCTCACTCTACTGTTCTACAATATGTAGTTTGTGCAATATTAAATTTTCCTTTTCCCTCACTTGCAGCTGTAGCTCCTCGGGAAATTTTGGCGCAAGGACATTCCGCAAGACTGGTTTATGAAGAGGCCCTTAGAGATGGATTTGTGAATGTTTATCGTGGTCGCATAGTATTGGTTGGCCAGGATCGTGCCGGTAAAATAAGTTTAAAGAAGACTCTCCTAGGTCTGCCATTCAACCTCAAGGAACAAAGTACGGACGGGATCGAAATAGTGCCAACTAAGTTCGAAATTGAAGTGGAGCAAATTAAGAACTGGAGACCTAGTTGTGCGAACAAGTCAAGTTTCTCTGATTGTTTGGAATATACAATGGGTGTAGCAAAACTGTTAGCGACAGAAAGGTATCACATGATTGTTGGGGATGAAAAGGAAGACTCGGAAATAAAATCAGTAAGGGCACAGCCTAAGGAAGAACACAGGGTGGAGTCAGGAGAGGAATTGCACACAAAACATGTCGCCGATGAGGTCCGTTTACTATGTTTTTACACTGAAACCTGACTTTTTATGAATGATCTCAAACGAATTCACACATTTAATGCTCATTTCTCTGTTTTGACATAACGAGATAGATCGACATCTACTGTGTAAATGAAGATGCATCAACCATGTAACTTATAACGAAATTTGGTATCTATAGTATTGATATTTCGTCTTATTGCAAAATGTTAGGTTTCCGTGTTCGAGGATTCGACGACAGAGTTTCCACATAGATCCGGGCCATTAAGCGAAGTTCATGAAGGAGATAGTCTAAGCACAAATTCCAAACTGGCTGTCAGCACCACTGCACTTCCTAATGCCGTTGAAAAACGGGCTGATGAACTCCTAAGGAACATGATCGTTGAAGGTGTGGATGCTGATAGTGCATACATCGAGAAAGGATCCACGATAGCCGCAGATGTGTGGGATTTTGCGGGTCAACATGTGTACTATGCTGCTCACTCGGTATTTCTTTCGTCAAGAGCTGTGTACATCGTAGTTCACAACCTTAACAAGCCCCTGAATGCCCAAGCTCAGCCATGTGTGAGACAGGGAACTCATGAAGTACCTTTGGAGAACCCAAACAATGAGACTAATCTAGAGAATTTGCTGTCGTGGCTCGGGACAGTTCATAATATGAGACCGACTGGAGAAGAAATGGTTGAAACGCCTAACGTGCTCCCCTATCTCCGACCTCCAGTGTTCATCGTCGGCACCCATGCTGACAAGCCATATGAAGATACGAAGGATGTTACATCCAAGATACTTCGTGAGATTTCCAGTAAGGAATATGGAAAACATGTGATCCGACCATTCTTCTATATTGATAACACTCGAGGACACAAATCTTTCGCTGGGAAATTCCGGAATTTCTTCAAAGTTGAAAGAAATCGTCAAGCAGGTTTGTCATGTCTTTGGGTTCAACATGACGATTAATGACGTGTTTATGGGTTAGTGAGGTTGGGTTTAGTTTTATTTCTATCGAGGACAGACAAAATCATCGTTAGATAAAGATGATTGGATTCACTGGAGATTTTACAAGTTGCTTTTCCACATCTTATTCCTAGCATCCTTTTGTCCCAATCTGGGTACTTATCTACTTTTGATGCTGGCACCATGTTAGTGCTCCCGTTATTCCTGAATTTCTTTTTTTATGCATTTTCTCTTGTTTTCCCATTTCTTGTTTTAACCTGGATTGTATATGTAAATACCATAACGAATGTTTTTGCGGACCAAATTAGTGTGAAATTTATAATACATTGCGAAGAAGTGAATTTGAGTGCTACAGCAGAAATTGCCTTTCCGAATACGAAATAGGGGATCATGGTCTTAGTTGCAATCAAACTCGTATCGAAAGTCCGAGGAGAAATCTCTGTCCTTCCCTGGCTTCTCTCAACAGCACTAATTGTTTTACATAATTTATAATTGAAAGGTCAAGGAGACAGCGATGGCACCAGTGCCAATGGAATTCATGCTCTTCGAGAGAGAATCCTGGAAGTACTTCGACAGGAACCTTATATGGGAGAGAAGATACCAGTGAGGTAAAGTATGATGTGTAATGATATATGCACAAGAGATGTTCAGTTCATTTTTTTCTAACAACAGCTGTACTGAAACGTACGAGTGGCTTTCACAGCTGAATAAAGGGGTAAGTTTCTAAAGAAACTGTGGTGCTGCGTCGGTGGGAGAGTATAGCTAATCGCTCTGACGAAGGGCTAACGCTCGAAACGTCAGCTTTTTTACCCTTTACGGTGGCTAATTTACGTTTTCAACCCAGTTGTTAACACTAAATTACCTGCTTTCACAGCTGGTTTCGCCACTTGGTCGAGTTCGCTACGTTCAAGTTCGCTACATGTTCGTTACTTACATGCCGAAATTGCTCCTTACTTCATTTACCACAGTAAATTATGCTCACATTATGAGCATAATTTACAAATTTCCACAAATGATTTACGGGAACTTTTGCGGCTCAAACTTGAAGAAAATTATTTCAAGTTCAACGAAAAATTCTTCATACAAACACATGGCATCGCCATGGGAACTAAGACACCAGTTGCTTTCCCTGCCATTTTATGGCAAACCTAGAAAAGCGACTGTTAATGGCTAGTCCCTCTAACCTTTGGTCTGGAAGAGATTTCTATGAAAGACGCTTATAACTTTGTTGACTTTGCCAATTCGTTCCACCCTACAATCAGGTTTATTTGTGAAACGTAACCTCGCACCAATCCAAGAAGGCAATTTGCATATGGTCAGTTTAACTGACTCCTAAAAACGGCAATCACGCAGTTGGGAGTATAAATTACAGATATTGCATGTGGTTTATGGTTAAAAGAGAAATTAAAACTGTGAATTAACAGAGGCAACGAATTGGGCATGTTAGAAGCGAACATGCAGCAAACTCGACGAGTAGCGAAACAGGCGTAAAGCACTTTGAAGGCGACGAATTTTTCAGTGCTTAACAACATGCTACCATTACTTGTGGATGTAATATATCCTCAAAAGAGGCTCAACCGGCAATTAAGCCATATTCTAAAGTTACATTTAGAAATTTCCAAACTTTGCTACATGCAATTTGCTATCTGATGTATACCTTTCTGTAAGTTAGACTTATTATAAATTTTTCATATTTCTAGATGGTTTAACTTCGAAAAGGTCATTGAAGCTTTGGTAGCTGAGAATGTATACCACTCAAATACTGCCCATCTTCAAACCTATGCCAAGGATGTATGTTTTATAGAAGATGATGAACAGTTTCACACCATGTTGAATTTCTATCACGACTTAGGATTGATTGTGAAACACCGCAGTACAGTCATTCTGAAGGCGCAGTGGTTAATCAGTCTATTCAAGAAACTTATAACCATCCCAGCATTCAAAAAAGCGGTAGGAAAAGATAATCTTCTATACATTGAGATGATTGCAGATCGTGGGCAGGATTTGTTACCTTCCCCCAACTTGCCCTTAACGAAAAAAATGTTAGTTTAATTGACTGTTGGTTCGTTTGTTTTTTCACGTTGTTTACATCCCTTACAACATTTTGAGTTTTCTCCATAACATTCATGTCTCCCACTCTCCCTCAATTCAATATTGCCTTATATTGACAAAATAGTCACTAATTTATTACGACATTTTTTGGGGGTGGGGAGGTAAGGGGGAAATTAAATAAACTAATTAGAGATGAATTACAAGATTTTTCTTATCGTGTTGACTCATTTCGGGAGGCTAGCCAACTACATTTTACCACTCATTGTACCCTTAGTAATGAGGAAAGCAGAGATGTTTTTGGTCCGCTGCAAATTAAATAGGGCATTTTAAAGAAAAATTGGTAGATTGAACTTATTTTAAATAGGGAATTTGTGGTTTCAGGATCCTGTGCATTCCAAGTACTGGCTGCAACTCGAGAGAAGTGGTGTCCTTAGGATGGAGCTTGTTGATCACATTTTTTCCCCTCTTATTCAGCAAGGCGTTAAGAAGGAAGACATCTTGGACATGATGGAGCAGTTTGGTTTGATTGCCAAATACTCACCATCCCCGGCTGACGTTAATTACTTTGTGCCATGCCAACTGAGGTCCTCACCTGAAGAGCTTTGTAAAATGAAGCCATCATCTACGGATCCTTGTCCTTTGTATCTTCATTTCCAAGAAGGCTTTGTTCCGCATGGTTTTTTTACTCGCTTTGTTTCAAAATCGGTTGCTTGGTGTGGTGCAAATGGATCGTCACAGCCTCCAAAACTCTACCAGAATGGTGCATGGTTCATTCTTGAAGAACGCGTCATACATGACATGATTATGATTTGCAAAAAGAAGTTCATAAAAATCCTCTTGAGGCAAAGAATTAAGAAGAACGTAGTTGCAGTTTCTAATTCAACTTTGGTAGAAGTTGCTAGAGGCGTGCGATTGTTTATGGAGAGCACTTTAGAAAATATGTCGCAGGAGTTCCCATACCTGAGCAAGATGCAGCATGAATTTTGTGTTGAATGCCCCTACTGTCAGCAAAGCGGTCGCAAGTGCGTAAACCACAACCAAGTGTCCTGTAGAGAAGATGACTGCTTACACCTGCTTGAATTAAGGCAAGGACAGGATTTGATCTGTATGGAAAGCATGTCTAATGAAGTACTAACAGTTCCTGGACAAGATAGATGGTTGTTGAACCAGGTATAAAGCATTCTTTGTATGTATTCGTTCGTAAGTAGTAACGGAAACCAATTAAGAAGAGCTTATGATAGCTGCAATGATATCACATTGTGCGATGGCAGTCGTATGCGGAATACCCAATTTAGAAAATCTTGGAACAGATTGAGATCTAATGGTGTCATAGAAGGATCTTGCTTCATCGAGCTCCTAAAGCAATTTAGCAATGGATATGGATGTATGTTTTACAATTGTGTAATTACCTTTTTGGTTGATTCAAGACATGTATGAACGCGTTCAACCAGTTCGTTTCCTTCCGTCTGGTTTATAATTTCTTGATGGGAATAAAGAATATTTTTCTCTAAGAGAAGTAAGTTTTTTTTTTTTGTGAAAACTGTTTTATATACCTTACTTGGAAAATGATGTGCTTTTCCATTATAATAATGTTTTTATGTCATTATCCAAAAGGACTTGGCTCCGTCAGAAATAAGAACCTCACAAGTTGCATCAGTGCGTGGTCACCCAGCAAAGTGCCACAAAACTTTGAAAGTTACTCTACTGGCCAATGAGTGGAATTCGTCAAGGGGGGGTTTGTCCACCATCAACAGACACCTTGCCATCCTTATGGCCGAACGTAATGAGGTAGAAGTCACTCTCTTGGTCCCACAATATGCTTGTTCTGAAGAAGAGAAGAGAGATGCAGAAAGTCACAAGATTGTCATCAAAGAAGCAGAGAGACGTCCAGGCTACGACCCTCTTGACTGGTTGAGCTTCCCTCCGAAAGAGCTGATAATTGACGTGGTCCTGGGTCATGGAGCCAAGTTAGGTAAGCAAGCCCAAATCATTAGAGAGTCCCATAGTTGCCAATGGGTACAAGTAGTGCATACTGCGCCTGAAGAGCTCGGAATGTTCAAAAACTATCCGAGAGCCATTGCCAAAGGAGAAGAGAAGACTACAGCCGAAGTAGATTTGTGTAAATTGGCAAATCTAGTTGTAGCAGTAGGACCCAAGTTGATGGAGGCCTACTCTGCCTACCTTGGCTCATGTGGGAAGCAGCAAGATATAATGTCGTTCACTCCTGGCACGTTTAAGGAGTTTTCTACTCTAAATCATGCCTCAGTTGACTCTGTAAAGTTTAAGGTGTTGATCTTTGGTCGTGGTGATCCTGAGGACTTCGGTCTTAAGGGGTATGATATCGCTGCTAAAGCAGTAGCGGAACTGAAAGACAACTCCTACCATTTGATCTTTGTGGGTGCACCTGATGGCAAACAGGAGGCAGTTGCGCAAGAGTTTCTGCGGAATGGTATTTCTAAACGTCAGCTGACAGTGAGAACGTTTTTGCCAAGTAAGGAGAAATTGAAAGATTGCTTTCGTGAAGTTGATCTCTGTATCATGCCATCCCGGACGGAAGGGTTCGGCTTAACCGCGTTGGAAGCCTTGTCAGCTGGTCTTCCTATTCTTGTAAGTGGAAACTCGGGTTTCGGAGATGCACTGCGCGCAGTACCATTCGGCACATCCTTTGTGGTTGACTCTGAGGACCCCAAAGTGTGGGCTGAGGCAATTGATGGTGTCCGTAAGATGAAGAGATCACCGCGTCTTCAAGGGATTGAACGACTCAGGACATCATATGAAAAGCAGTTCAGCTGGGAGAAACAATGTGACCTTCTCGTTGATTTGATGTGGAACAAAGTTCATGGCGTAGGTATGTTAATAATTTTTATATTTCTTTCCGTAGACTTTTCTTTCGTTGTGTTATCCAAATGTATCCTGCCATTGATGTGAATACATTTTCTATCTCGGAATAGGTTTCTAAAACACAGCATGATGGAGATCTTTAAATGTTTGTGTATAACGCCCATGTTCATCAAAAAGGAAACGATTTGTAAAAACTGATAAGAGTGAGAAAGGAACAAGCAAAAGCGAAAGAAACGTCTAAAACCACTTTTATCCATCCCAAGTTGAAATGACTTTCTTGATATAAGTGTATTACCAAAAGTTAATGCTTGAGCGGGACAAATGTCATATTGTCTTATCAGCTCAGGTTAAAAGTTATCCACTCCAGTTATTCACAAGCAATAATTGCTTTCGTTGCAGCATAATTATTTTTTTATGAAAAAAAAAAGGGATGTAAAATGTTAACCGGCAAGTCTAGACAATTACCTGCGACTTCCTATTCCAATACTGTTTATCGTTCTCGAATCAGAAGACAGCGTTTGGTAAATAAATGAAGTTATTGGCCTGTCTTCCGAAATCCTCGCCGTACTTTTTAATTTAAGTCTTCCCTTGTAGCTGAAAGAGGAGCCTGGCCCTCTCAGTGAAGATTTTGATCAATTTGTGTTCTCATGAAATCTTTTCCCATACATGATCCTGCTAATAAGGAAAGATTTCGTTCATTTGAGAGTAGCGCCCTCCATGAAACGAAATCAGAGTACCCCGTTGGATAAGTGTCTCTCTCAGCCCTGATTTGGGCGGATATGGCTTCACTAGCAGTGAGCACGGGGCTGAGCGAGATCATATACAAGTTTCACGCAGCTTTCAGTGGTGATACCGGAAGAGTTCCCAGTGGGTGAAAAAATATTCACGGTGAACTGAAAATTCGGTCTTTAATGTGATGGATTTTTTTTCTCTGTCATAACTGTGACTTTCTCTTCCATCTGCATTATATGATTCTAGGAAATGCGCCTAAAATTATTTTACTTCCAGGGGTGCTTGAGCGAACCCTCCAGAATCTTCAGCGAACCCTCCAGAATCTTCAGCGGATGCAACTCTGCGTAAGCATGGTCAACGACAGCACTACCTTGACAGAGAAGTTAGCGACGATTGCATCAGATAAGGGCTTCAGAATTTCTGACAATCAAGGGTCAGGAAACTGCATGTTCCATGCTCTGTCAGAACAACTAGAAACCGTCAAAAGAATCAAAATCCAACATGGCCAGTTGAGACAGTCTTTAGTTCAGTACCTCAGGGAAAACCCAAAACTGGTTAGTTGCTGTAATGCTCAGAAGTAAATGAACTAGAAGTTCATCAGTAGTTTAATTACTGTGTCTATTTTTCTCTCCGTTACATGAAGTGCCACTCGTTCTTTCTGGGACACCAGTCACTCTCACACCAGATATCTTCAAGTATTTTTTCACTTTGGCCTTAAAATTTCCTCACAATTTTTCTACTCGTGGAGAGAGGCACTTTGACAGTAAGGTTTCTTCTCCTAGAGCTCGATAATACAGTCACTCTATATAAGATTATGTCGGAAGTTTGTCTTAGCTTTTGCTGTCTACCCACTGCGTTTGCTGAAAAAGTTATCACATACTTTTCTATTGTAAAGAAGTTAATTTTTGGGGAGTTTTCCTTAAATTGTGCTTGGCCCTGTTCAAAAGCTATTTGGCATTCAAGTATTAATTGTTGTCTCTTCTTACAGCCGGATGGAACAGATCTCCGTCACTTTGTCCATGAACATGAAACATGGGCTGATTACCTAACATACATGGAACAAGATGGCGCTTGGGGTGATCACCTCATTCTCTGTGCAGCAGCAAATTGCTTTAAAACGTGCATTCATGTGGTCAGTAGTATACACAATGATGTAGACATCAGGCCACATGGTGCTGTTGAAGAAAGCAAGCCTCTAGTACTGGGACATATTCATGAAGTACACTATGTCAGTCTTCAGCCCATACAAGGTAAGAGTGGAAAAGCACAGTACACGTACTTTTCAATTTGAAAATGATGAAGATCAATTAATATCCGTCGCGAAATTCGAAAACCTTATGTTTCCTACGAAAAGCACCAGCTTCGTGGAAGGGTCAACCCTCAAACTGTTAACTGTTCTCGAATCACTGCGATGGTTAGTTAGTTGATCTTTCTCAGAGATAACTGTGAGAATGAACCAAGCCTTCCACTTCCTTGCTGGAAAAACACACCAGTGTATTTAGTAACTTGAAATGTACCATTGTTATCGTTTCAGGAGTCTCGCATAATTATAAAATAAACTACAAGCTATACCTTCAGTTTTTGTTTCCTTCTTATATATTTCAGTGCTTTTTAGAAATTAAAACAGTGTTTTTTTGGAGCGATATTTTGTAGTTTGTTTGAAAATATGAAAACAGAACAAACGTCCGGAAAGCAAATAATGTATTCATTTATCTGGTTCTTAAGCGATATTAAGATGTGCTATTTGTATTTGAACAATAGTCGCTTGGTAGGAGAGCATTGTTAACCATACGCACTTAATTAAGAGGTATTCACGAATCACACTTGCTGAATGTACCTGAGGACCAGGGAAGGTATTGTTGTGAGAACACTTGCTTTCCACCATTGTGGCTGGGTTATATCCAGGACCTTGCTTTTCATGTCGGCTGAATTTGTTGTTGATCCACGCCTTTTCCCTCGGCGTTTTTCTTCAGGTTCTCCTTGTTTTTATTCTCATTAAATTGACATTCCGAATTCCAATCACTTTGCGGAAAACCATACCCTGGGAAATGTAAAATTTTTGTTCATTAATTTTGATTTGTTTTTTCTTGATGCATTTACAGGCTAAAGTAAAGTTTGACGGCGGCTATGGTTACAAACTAGAAAGACCTTCACGAAGAAACAGAACGCAAAAAGAAAAAAATTCGAAGTTTTAGGAATTTCTCTCACGAAACTTTAGTTTTAGCCGAAAAGAAAGCTTTAGACGAGATATAGCTTTTAGGAGGTCGTAAGTTTTTCGGTTTGGATGAGCTTAAGTCACTGAATAGCTATCGAGTTTTCATGGTTCGATTGAAATTTTGATATAGAGTAATTCTTAACTGAGCGTTAAAAGTAATCCCGTACTACTTTGGTTTTCTTTATTTCGGTCTGTGATTGGTCTAGAAACTCCCACAATGTGCGAAACAAATCAGACGCCAAACGAAAAAGAATCGTCACTGGTCATTTGCCCCCAATTTCTGCAGTTTGAAACCTTATTGGCTAATAACGATGCAAAACTTCGTTATTATTGGCTGTTCTTATTACTTTGGTTTGAAAATTGCTCCAAAAAGCCATGAATCACTAATTGCAATTTTTACTCCTCTCATCGCGAATTTCTGTTCAGCAATTATGGAGCATGGTTCATTGTACTTTGGTGCCGCCGTTATGTGTTCACTTCTACAAGCTGAACGTGACGGTTTGCTCTACACTGTAGTGCTTGGAGTGATATTTATCATTTGCCTTTATTACATATTAAAAGGGGAACAAAGCTAATTTGCATAGATAATACATGGGAAATATAAAATAGGAAAAGGAAAAGGAGAGGAAGTTTGAAGAAGCCATGAAGGCTTCTAAGTGAAGCTCCCTCTTGAAATAAGAGTTTAAGTTAAACTAGAATGTAGAACGTAATTTAACAAGTGTAAAGTACGAATTACGGAAGTCGTGGAATGCAGTACTATGGTGGTTGTCGATCATTTTTGGTATCTGCCTTGGAAAAGAACGCCAGCGCCCTGGGGAAACTTTCGAATTCCTCACCGTGAGAGACTTATGGCAGACAATGCTATCATGAGTATGATGTTTAAGTCTGCCGCCATAATACTCTGTTAACGGCTTGTTATTATTTACTCAATTTATTTACTTGCAAAGCGATTCCTTTTAAAATTTGCTAATGTAGTTTGCCATTTAGACGTCAGTTCCACTGATGATTGAGTGGCTTTTTTACAAGTATGTCTCTTGCAATTGAAACAGGTTATCAGAACTGTATGCACTAGCTTTGTGGTCTAGTGGTAACTATTTAGATGCTATATATTATCAGTTTAGCAATAAAGATTTTCCTTTTGTTTTCTGTAATCTCCTACTTTGTACTTTCCTGTCTCGAACATGAAACACCTATCGAAGGAAATTTTTGGGAGAACTCAGTTCAAATGGGCTAAAATCTCTAACGAGGCTGAAACGGAAATTCTTGATTATATTTTCGAAGATAAATGAAATGTTCCTTGGAGCTATGTGTTATTATGTGTTACTATTTGATTAAGCGGTGTCCTTAACTCCTTGCCAGGTAATAAGCGTCCGACTTGGAATGCGCTTGTGTTAAAACATATCATCGGTGGATGTAGGGGACGGCCCGCCTTTCCCCCCTCCTACTTTGGGTAAAAAAAAAAAAAGAATTGCAAAAGGAAGAAAAGCCGGCAGGGTAAGCGACAGAAATTTGGGCCCCTTAACCTATACTTTTCAATGTTAGGTGGTATTTCTTCTTTTGGGGACTAAAATTCAGGAGCCACACCGGATTTTTAAGCATCTAGTCGTTTAAACTAGAAAACGGACTTACCATTTTTAACTCGTGAATTGCGCGCATGCGCAAGAGCGAGTTGTAGATATTGTGTGGTGAATGGCACTCGCTCGCTCGATTGGTTGATTCCTGTAAACATTTTTTCGATTTTAGGCTTTTGAGTGCATTTGATAGTTTTTGGCGAGCAACAAACAAACGAAATGGCGACCTTTGTTGCTAAGAATAATAATAATAATAATAATAATAATAATAAGTCTTTATTAAGCACTCTAAACAACAAACGTGTTTAGTTACAATGATATGAAATCAGCAAGTATAAAACTAATAAACTAACTAAATTACTAACTGAATAACTAATAAGAGAACAAACATCTATTAATAAAGGTCCTTTTGAAACGTTCAGTTCTGACAAGCGGGAGAATATAATTATGGCGCCTCTTACGTAGCGTATCCATTGTTCGCTCTGGCGGCAAAAGGTCATCTAAAGCTGTTGGAAAATCGCTGTCGGTGATCTTGGCCCACAACTTCTTATCTTTTAGAATGATAATATTTTCAATCGAAAAAGCTCTTTACAGTAGCCAAGCTTAAAAGCTCTCTTGAACAGCCTGTCTATGCGACTCAGATACTTATGATAATACGCGCAGCCCCATACTTCTACAGCATATGTAAATATAGGTAGAATAAGACTGATAAAGAGAAGATGAAGATGATCCAGCGGCAGTCCATAGAATTTACAAACACGTAAGATGTACAGACGACTACTGGCTTTCGATATAATATTATCAAAATGTAAGTCCCAGTTACACGGATCAGATTGAAAAGTTACACCCAACAACTTCAGACATGGTTTACGCTCTATAGAAACCAGAGGAGCAGGTAAGGCCTTAGTGGATTTGGATTTGCCTCTAAGAAGCATCTCCCACGTTTTCTTGAAGTTTAGTTGCATACGATTAGCAGATGTCCATGCGACGATCGATCGGACCTCCTCAGCTGCTAAATTGCCGTTATTAGCCAGCGATTTTACTGGAATACTTAATGTTAAATCATCAGCATATTTCACAAGTAAATTCTGATTTGGTAGAATGGCCTTAATATCATTGACCATAATAGAAAATAGTATAGGGCCTAAAACTGTCCCCTGAGGGACACCTCTATTGATATTTACATAGTCCGTGACAATGGCATCAACAACAACTCTTTGTTTCCTGTTCTGTAAAAAACTAATAATCCAATTGGTCACGTATGGATTTATATCAAGTGTTTTCAACTTAGAGCAGAGGATATCATGAGGGACCGAATCAAAAGCTTTGCTGAAATCAAAAGAGAAGATTCTAACACAATCAAAACCCGACTCAAGCCATTTCAGCCAAGCATATTGACACTTAATTAAGGCCATTGTCGTATTGTGGCCTTTGCGGTATGCAAACTGGTCGAAGCTAATGAAGTTCTTCATATATTGAGATAATTCTTGTCTGTATACAAGACGTTCAAAAACCCTCATTATTACATTAGTCAGCGAAATAGGCCGCAACTGTGTGCAATTTTTAAAGTTGGGCTCTTTAGGCAAGGGAGTTATGTCGGCCAATTTCCAAAGATCAGGCACAATGTGATTTTCCAAAGAACAGTTGAAAATATGGGTAACAACAGGAGCGAGGTCGTACGCAAACTCTTTCCAAAACCAGTACGGGATTCCATCTGGACCAGAGGCAGTTCTTTTTAATTTCAGTAGACTCCTGGTAACACTGGAGACCGTTAAAACAGGCATCTCGCTTGATTCCGGGATAGTGACAGTGTCAATGGGTTTATAAAGGGGATCAGTGTTAATGGAACAGAAAAAATTATTGATCTCGCTCGGGGAGATAATTGAGCTTACTTGCGAGTTGGTAGACTTCCTTCCTGTCAGGGAATTGACTGTTGACCACCAAGATTTGGATCCTGCACTATGTTTCTCAAAATTCCCTTTAACTGCTCGAACTTGATTATCTCTGATCAACTTGTTGATTTTCTCTTGAAGAGTTTGGATCTCAATCGAAACAGAATTTCCTGACATGTTACTTCGCCGAATCAATTTTCGCCGTTGGTCCAGTAGATGTTTGATTAGAGGAGAAAAGAACGGAGGGTCCCTATTAGACACACGTACTGATATACCCGGAAAACACTCATCAAACATGGTCTTAATCTTGGTACAAAAAGATTAAGTTTTCCATTCACATCTCCGCATTGATAAACATTGTCCCAGTTATGAAACTTCAACAGTTTATCCATATCCAGTTTATGATGATCACGAACATCTCTGAACATCACAGTTTTCCTTTCAGCCTTAAGTGGGATTCTGGGATATACCAGGACCACAGAGTGGTCAGATCGAACTAGTCCTTGAGTGACCGATACTTTCCTCCAAAAATGTGGGACGTTAGTAATCAAAACATCCTAAATTTTGTTCTTTCTTGTCGGTGTATTTACCATCTGGAATAAATTTAGTTGTG